TAGTTTTAGGTTTCACATTTAAGTCTTTGATCCATCTGGAGTTAGTTTTTGTGTATGGTGTGAGGTATGGATCTTGTTTCATTTTTCTGCAAATGGATATCCAGTTCTGCCAGTACCATTTGTGAAGGAGACAATCTCTTCCCCACTGAATTGATTTTGGCCCTGTACATTACTTCTCCTGTCCTCTTCTCCTATCTCTCCACAACTCCTCTACTATTTTGCCCTCTGAAATACACAGTCCATTATTAGCAACATCTTCTCTATGAGCAGCCTCTTCCCTGAAAGTTCTCTTCATATTTCTGCTCTATGGAAATCTATGTCTTTGCCAAGGATACTGCTTCCACTGAAGACTTCTCAACTGGTGGCTATTTTTGCTCTGTCTTTATACCCTAGGTCTGGAGATGAAGTATGTATTTTTCTTGCTTTTTATTGCCATTTAAAAATTATTCTCTCTTCCTCCTCCCTAAAATCCTCAGCTTTGAATTTCCTATCACCAAACTATCACTCATATTCCTTCATTGTTGCTGTGATCTAACAGCTCCCAGACCATTTCTTCTTATTTATTGATGAGTTATCTACTGCTCACAGTCAGTTTCTCCAAAACAACACCTGTTTTAATTCTTGGCACTTTCAATATATAAGTATATGATCCTCCCAATATTCTAGCCTCTTAGTTCTTTGAATTGCACCCTGACAATGAACTCATTCTCTATCTTACCTTAGCCATTCACTCCCATTCATTAGATCCTGTCATTACTAATACAGAGAGTTCCCTACTTACAATGAATTCAAGTTATGATGAACTGTACTTACAACCATCCCTTTTTTTGTACATCTTATCATTAGTATTATATATGACATATAGTGTTACAATTTATAATTCATTGACATAATCATTCTCAGGTGTTAATTTGCAGATGTTCAGTTTTATGATTTACTGTTTAAAACACTACCATATAGATTTAGTTTTCTAAACTAAATCAAGGGCTTCAGTTGCTGAAAACATGGACCCAAGTGCTGATTACTTTGCTCAAGTTGATAGGCAGATTTGGAAAGCAGTGTGATGTTGTTGCACAATATATGAAGAAAAAAGAAAAAGACCTTATATTCCGATTATAAACACATTTTTCACTTCCAGGGATAATCCAGGTGATCGAGAACCTTCCACAAGTGTAGTTATTACCACAACTGACAAAATGGTAATGTGATCCAACTTTTCTTCGTAGTCAATTTTCATGATTTGCATATTTTTAATGCTTTTATATGTATATTAAACTATATCTGTAAGTTTATAAGTAATGTTTCCAACCTCCAAAAACAAATGAAGATTGGATTTATAAAGATACTGATAATAAAAGACATTAATAATGAAAAAATTAGGTATTTGACTTATGTCAGAACCAATTTACATCAGGAGTGACTTATGATGGAGTCACTGGGAGGGAACCCCATTGTAAGACAGGGACTACTTGTAATTGCAATCCTCCCATACTCTCATTCTGAGCCAGATGAGGCAAATGAGATACCTAGGGTACAAAATTTAAGGAGACATTCACTTTTATGGTTGTGCAGGTCTCAATCCTGAACTTGCATGACCCTGAGAGTAAGCACTTCTTTATGTTTTTTTTTTTTTTTAATAGTTTTTCCCTTTCTTGCATTAT